GATGAGACGAAAGGCACTGGAGTTCCTTTTATCCACTTCAGGAAACGATTCCTCTTAAAATGACTCCACTGAATTGGGGTTGCTCAATTAAAACTTGATTAATATTAAGGCCAGAACTAACACCCAAAGAAATTGAACAAGGTTCAATAATAACCCTGTATGTGCTGTCTCTTTCAATTTCATTCTCCTTATTTTGTCTTATTCCCTTCCAGGGCTCTTCTCTGTTTTTTTTAAATGAAGTTTTAATGTGGGAATTTACAAGAGTGGAGAAAGCAGTTTAGTAGACTCCTATATTCCCATCACCTAGCTTCAGTAATTATCAACATTTTGCCAATCTTGTTCCATTACACATATTTTTTTCCAATTTTTATTAATGGAGAAATTTTTTAAAAGTTTAAACAGGCCTGGCTGGGCGTGGCTCAGCGGTTGAGCATTGACTTAGGATCCAGGATATCCCGGTTCAATTTCTGGTCAGGGCACATGCCCGGGTTGCGGGCTTGGTCCCCAGCGGGGGGCGCGCGGGAGGCAGCCGAGCAATGACTCTCATCATTGATGTTTCCCTCTCTCTCTCCCTCTCCCTTCCTCTTTCTGAAACCAATAAAGATATATTAAATAAATAAATAAATAAATAAAAGTTTAAATAGTACAATGATCACCCATAAACCTACCACCTACACTCAAAATTGCTATCTGCTAACGTTTAACCGTATTTGCTTTGATATACCTATGTGAACCACCTGAAAGTCAGTTACATACATCATAACTCTTCACCCTTAAATATTTCATCATGCACCTCTTTAGTATTTCTCCTACATGACCACAATTCCATTATTGTAGTTAAGATTAACAATACTTCCTTATATTAGCAAGTATTTTATTCATGTTTGAATTTCCTCAATTGTCTCCAAAATATCTTAGATAGGAATTTTTTATAAGCCAGATCCAAACAAGATCTATACATTACATTACAGTATTACTGCCTTTTAAATTTCTCGTTCTCCTCCCCTCCTCTTACTCATCCATTTTTCTATTACATTGCATTTTTGAAGAGACCAGTCTAGTTATCTTGTAGAATGTCCCACATTCTGGATTTGCTGATTACCTCTTTATAGTGTGATGTGTTTAATTTGTTATCCCATGTAAATATCCTGTAAATGGCAAGATAGGTCTAAAGGCTTGATTAGATTAAGATTAAACACTTTGAGAATAATACTTAATAGGTGATGCTACATACTTATTGCATCTCATCAAGGACCACATAATGTCAAAGTTGCCCTACTATTAGTGATACAAAGTTTGATTACTTGGCTAAGGTGTTGACTATCAGATCACTCCATTTTTAGTTATCTTTTTTTTCCTTTCCTGTGCGATTTGCAAATAATCTGTGTGGTAATATTTGGCACCATGATAATATCCTGTTCCCTTTTGCTTCAAGTTTTGGTGATTTATAACACTTTCCTGAGCCAATTATTTCATTTTGGGTTGCAGAATGAATGGTGATTTTTCTAACCCTTTCGTTTCTTCTACATTTATTAGCTAGAACTCTTTTTAAAAATCCTCACCTGAGGATATTTTTTCCCCCATTGCTTTTCAGAGAGAGTGGAAGGGAGAGAGAGAGAGACAGAGCGAAGCATCCACACAGACCAGTCCAGGGCCAGGGATCAAGCCTGCAAACCGAGGTAGGTGGCGTTGGCCAAAATCAAACCCAGGACCCTTAAGTCCGCAGGACGACGGTCTTTAACCACTGAGCCAAACCTGCCGGGGCTAGAACTCTTTTGAAAAAGTTTTCAAAACTCTAAGAATGAGTTGCAGTTCTTCCTAAGGAGAGGATAAATGTTTAAATCTTTCCTTCTGGTTAGCAATTTTTAGAGTAAGGAGTTGGCATAAAAGTTATCTTCATTGTGGAAAATTCGTTTTTTTCTCTGTTTTTGAGTATCATTATAGATTACCGAGTTTTCTCCCGTTTCTTCTCATCTGAGATGGATGTGCTCAGCCATGTCTTTTTCCCTCCTCTCCTTTATCCTTGTCCGCTGCTCTCTCCGCACTTACGCCTGGACTTTCCAACTAGGCCACTAGGGGACACTAGTTTCCGCCCTGCCCCCTTGCTGCCGCTCTATCATAGACTTCGCCATGTACTACCAACTGTTGTCTCTCTGGTGCTGACGGTGTCCACGGAGCCGCTCTAGGCTATTGGGAGGCCGTCCGTATTGCGTGGGGAAGGTTTGGACGACGCTGTCGCCTCGGCGGCCCCGGGGCGGTTAGCGCTTCCGGGGTCGGAGGGTGCGCGGGGTTGAAAGCGGGCCGCTCCGCCCCGTCCCCCTCCCAGACCAGCAGAGGCAGCAGCCG